AACAATAATAAAATTTTTTCTTTTATCCAATTTTTAAATAAAATAAAAAGATGAACAACAATAAATTGTTTAATTAATATTAAAGAATATTTTATCCAAATTTCCAAATAATAAAAAGATGAAAGCGAACGATAATAATAAAATTGTTAATTAAAGAACATTTTATCCAAATTTCCAAAGAACAAAAAAGATGAATACGAACAACAATAATAAAATTGTTTAATTAAATATAAAAAGATAGTATTAACACGAACAATAAACCAAATCAAAAAATCTGTATAAATAAAGATCAAATTCTTACAATCCTACGCAATTAAAAATTTTTCACAATTAAAACCTTTGAAAATGTCTCGAGAACACCATCCATCATCCATTAAAATATATATATATATAGTATACATGTTTATAAAATGTCGATCATTACAACAATTTTCTCGTTTCAACGATTTTGATGATCATCGTTGAAACGAGGTTTAGTAGATTGTTTTTCCAAATCTCAAAAAACATTAATATTGAAATAAACAAAATGCTCACGAAGAAAAAAAAAAAAAAATAAGGAACCGAAAGAAATGAAGCGCCAGAGTAAGTATTATTAGAACATGATTGTTTTGAGAGCTATTCTAGTTATTATTAAAAAATGGCGGTGGTTGTTATTGTTCCGTCATTCTAGTTTACTAAATTTATTAAAATTGATCACCTTCAACTTTTGTATTTATTAGAAATCGTGATATTTATGACGAAAAAAATGAACAAAGAACAATTCGAAAAAAAGCTAGAAATGAGTAAGTATTGTTAGAGCATGATTGTTTTGAGAGCTATTCTAGTTAAAACATTTAATAATAGCAATCACTTATTACCACAGCGTAAAATGCTATCATTTATGTATTTAAAAATGTAAATATAAATCCTAAATAAATAAATAATTCCATTATTATTAAAAAATACTGACACATCTATCTATATTGATAATAATATAATTAATAGTAAAGATATCACTACCATCAAATGAACTGGTGCAAATCATCATCAACATTACCGCCGTTGAGTAAACAGAACCATAAATCACAAGATCAACATCAACTCCACCATAATAAGTAGATTAAACAATAATCAACAGCTTCACCACAAACACTGATACATACAGCATCATCCACTGTAAATAACCATGATGAACAAAACGAAACTGACAAGGTGCATTATCATAACGACATTGTTATTAATCGTAGTGGTGATAATAATATCAATAAGGATAGTACAAGAAACCACTGATAATAATACTGATAATGATGATAACTAAATAATGATGATGATAATGATAGTGACAATATTAATGATGACAACAATGATGGTTGCGATGGCAGTAATAATGATAATAATGATGGTAACAGTTGCAATAATAATAATGATAGCATTAGTTGTAATAAGAATAATGATTATAATGAAAAAAAGATATTATTATTATTACCAACCACAGGTGGCAATACAAAACAACACTATTAAAATAAGATTTTCATTAATAAATTGTACTGCAGATTATAAAAATGATTATAACGATGGAAATAGAAAGTTAAACATAATTGAAGAATCATCTAACTTTGAAAATTACTTTTCTAATGTATTATTCTTTTTTTCAAATAAAAATAACAATTCGTTATCACTTTTTATTTCCAGTATTTGCATTGAAAATTTATATTAATATATATAGCAAAATCAGTCAAAATAAATTTTTTGTGACAATATGTTTTTATATATAAAATAAAATTTCAAGCCTTGTACCTCATCTTTATATTAATATTAACAATACAGGCAGAGTGTCTATTTTTCTATTGAAAAAGGATTGTTCAACATTGACATCAATATCAACATCTAAAAAACTCTCAAATCATAACACTACTCCAATTTTCTCTTGTCTTGCTTGGTGTTCCAAAGATGCTTGTAACTTCAAAGACGCCCGACGCAAGAATTCTTCCACTCAATGCCCTTCTCTCGGGTAATTTATTATATTGTGAAAAAAAGATCATGAGTTTTAGGATTTTCAGTCTGTCTGAAAAAGAAAGGTCACATTTATTCCCGTTTTGTTGGAGGTTTAAGGAAATAAAATTTGAATTTGGTGTTGATAAGTGGGTGTAGTAGTAGAACTCATCATCGTCATCTATATTAATTAGAACAAAAAATACTTTTCAATGTCATGCATGTCATTTACCAATATTATTGAAAAAATTTTTGCATTATTTTTTAAAATGTAACCTTCAACTTCATTTAAAACCATTATGTATGGTGTCAAACGATGATTTGATTTTCCGCCGTTTTTCTTTTGCATTAATATTAAAGAAAATCATTTGGAAAAAAATGGAAAGATGATTGCTTTATTTGGGTAATAATGAGCTATTACTATATGAATGGAACATTGATTATTGATCATTGCAAGCAAAGCTGCGCAAAAATTACCTATAAACGGACAAATTAGACATATATGTTCAATGGTCCAGTGGTCCAATGAAAAAGTCATCGACCATTGACCATTTCCAACCCTGCTACAGGTACACGTGAAAATGCGACACACGCACATTGTACTTTTTAATGGTGAAGGCTTGACAAAAAAGATTGCTGAAATTATGTAGATGTGGATTCACGTAAAGCCTCTAAAATTATAGATGACTCTCTTCAACAGCGTGAGTTAATAATTATTACTTTGGCTGAACCAAGATCAGATTAACTTTCAATTCGGCTCAGATGGGATATTCCGCTGGAGCTGGAGGATAAGATTAAAACGCTTTAATGTGAGCAATCAATGATAGGAATTTTAGGCTTGAATAACTTATCTTCCGCCTCTTATAATTGAAACATCTTTTTCTTGATCTCACATCGCGATTCCTTATTTGCATTGACACGCTCTTCATAATCCCTAGTGATATCTTGCATAAAAGAACTGAACATTTCAGTATTTATTTTTAAAAGTTGTCAACGTGTGATATCGACCATCTTATTTATTCACTTGACCTTTTCGTGATGGAAAGGGAATTAGTACTTTGCATTGTCTCATACTATTCACGTGCAATGAATTTTCAAGTGGTGATAAATTTACGTACCAATTTTTTTTAGAATCTATCGAACTCATGCCTTAAAATGTTCTACAGTGGGGTTAATCTCACTTCTGTTAATGGATTACGCTTTCAGTTGTCTTTCAGTTATGGAAGTAATCGATTGATCAAATCCGAATATGCTTGATTAAATTTCACATTGCACAAAAAATTGGAAATCAGAATTCCAAAGAATTCTATGAAACATACACGTCATTTATATTGTATTAAATTCAATCGTGACAATACAAAAATACTCATACTGTTATATATGAAAGAATATGATTCATCCGTTCTTTTTTCCTGAATTGCTGGAAATGATTTTTTTATTGAGAAAAAAATTATTTGGCATGCATATAAAAATTAAATATTGCCTACTAATATATTTTAATCTCAGATAATAAAACCATCTTTTTTAATAATTCATCATTTAACGCTTTAAAAACTTCATATTTAAATAACACAACAATTGCCAATAAAAAGCTTTTGAATCAAATAAAAGTTGTTCTACAAATTAAAAATTAACTCGATTACGTAGACCTTGAATTCAGATAATCATAAACTTCAAAGCCAAAAATCAAAAAACCATCAGTGCAATAACCAACATCACATACTAATACCACATATTTATGCACGCCTTATTTCCCGTAGCTCAAATGATAAGGTGTAAGTAAAATTTGTTCTACATATAATTAATTAATTTTTAATTTTCAGCTGCGCTTATTATTATATTCTTTGTGTCTGCTCGGAATACTTTTGATTTAAACCGAAACCAAATCGAACCGAAAATTAAACCAACCTGTTTGGAGCTTAAAGTATGGCCGATGATGGTTTAACTTTTGGGCTCCCTTGTCAGTTAATTGCAGCCAATACACAATAATCCTGCGTTTATTAGTCAATAAGTTTACCAATTTACCTTGGCTCTTGTTTACTGCCTCTTTCTTGTACCTATAAAGTTTCGACGAATTTGTAAATGGTATCGGATAATTGTAAAGGCTCTTTGCAATAGCTAAACGGCTTCTATGAAATTACTTGTGACCAATTTTTTTCTGCCGTTTACACTTGTAAACTTGCTTTTGGCTTATTTACAAAACAACTTGAGCAGCTTGTTTAATGGTCTTACTTTTTACAATAACAAATTATACAATAACTCTATCAGTATTTCATTTCTAATTAAAACACTCTTGGACAATACTTCACCAACCGATGTTGACACTCAGTAGCTAACTAATGTACTAAATCCAAATACCTTATTAATTATTGCTAATACGCACTAGTTAACCAACATTCGTATTAAACTTTTGCTTACTAATTAAAGAAATAAACCATGGCTTTTTACCACAAAATAATAATCTTGTTTTATTTTTTTACAAGTCAATTAACAATTCTTAGAGTTTATTTATTACAGGGTTTACCTTATTAGAATGTCTAATTTGTACAATTAAAAATTTTTTTTTGTATTTAATACAAATACATTGCATCTTTTTATTGTTATCAAAATACCAAATGCTTTTTAAAGCACTTGTTAAAACTTGTAAATTATATCCATTAATATAAATTATAAAAAAATGTTTCCAAATATAATTAGATTGCAAAGTGCGGTTCCACAACTTTTTTCCTCCAGAAATGGGAAACCAAAAAAACAAATAAATCCAAGGCCTTTCCTTGCTTAGTAGTACTTGCTTGTCATTTTTCGATATTTTATTCTTGGGATCAATCTCACTAATCTTCCTAAACGCAAGTTTCTTTAAATTACCCAAACATTAGATGTTCAACTTTTTTATCTACGTTTGATCCAATGAACTATTTGGATATTTTTATATAGATGGAAATTGGAAGATCATTGATTTGAAATTATTGCAGATACGTGACACGAAATGCATCTAAAATGTGGAGTCGAAATATTTTTTTAAAAAAAAAATGCAAAATCAACAACAAATAATTGATAATCCACTTTTTCCATCTTCCAATTATTCTTCCACACCTATAAAAAGTTCTACTCCTCATGTACTTTTCGAATTAACGAAAAAAGTAACAAATGACGATGAGAATCAAAAAAAAAATTATTGTACTTTTTGTAAAATAATCGCTGGTGAATTACCTTGTGTAAAAATTTTTGAAAATGATGATGTTTTAGCATTTCTTGGTAATGGGGAGAGGGAGTTTTTTTTTTTTTTACAAATTTAAAAATCTATTTTTTATTTTTATTATTAGAAAAATTATTGATAAATTGGTTTTTTTTTTCCATTCATAAAAAAATAAAAAATAATAATAATAATAGATGTAGCACCAATATCAAGAGGTCATACATTAGTCATCCCCAAAAAACATGTACCATACATAAATTTAGCTTCACCTTCAACAATCGCTGCAATTGGTGCGTCACTTCCAATGATTTCAAATGCAATATGTCAAGCGTTAAATATAAAGGATTTTAATATTTTACAAAATAATGGTAGTTTTGCTGGTCAAGTGGTTTTTCATGTACATTTCCATATTATACCAAGATTTAAAGATGAAGATAATATCAATAGGAACAGAAGATTACATGGCGGAAGATTAAAATTTAGTCAAGAAGAAAGGGAAAAAATCGGTGATTTAATAAAATCAAAATTGTAAAATCTTTTTAGTTCCATAACAGAGGCAATTCAATGCTAAAACAAGCAAGAAGGAATCAGTTATGCTATAAAACAAAAAGCAATAGAGCTTTTGTAATGAAACATTGTAAGATAGTATTTCATTTCATTTTCCTAAAAAAAATTTTTTTCATAAAAATTAGCTATTAATTATTTAAAAAAACAATTAATGAAATCATATTTATCTCTAAATTTATTTCAAGTTTATTTCATTTTTCCATATTGATCATTGTTTCTGATACTGAAGAGGGGGAAATTGAAATTATCATACAAAAAAATTGAGGATAAAATATTAAGTTTAATAAAATAATATATATATATATATATATTCTACATATTTAAGATGAACCTCCTGATGGTGGTGGAAAAGATACTTGAGCAGGTGGTGGTTCTATTGAAATTGAGCTTGATAACGATGGTCAAGGTGAAAAAACCTAATTGATGAACTGCTTGTACATTTGAGTATGATGTGGTAACGGGTTCTCGGATAATGGTAATGAGTTTGTTCCTGTTGCTGCTATCGATGACGGGTATTTATTGTCCTAATAGTTGAGTTGACTTGAAGGAATGTAATGATGTAGTGGAAGTTAATGATGAAGAGGAGGAGGATAAAGACGACGATGCGATTATAATGGATGATGATGGAGTTTGATATAATTTGAATGGATGATGACTATCCATTTTATGTATCTAATCCAATTACTGGAGTTAGTATGGTGGTAGTTTGCACCAGGAGCAGACGTTCTACCCACGATTGACCTTATTATCATCATCGTTATTAATCTGTTTTTACATAATAATAAATATTTATGGAAAATACTAGAAATATTTTTATCTCTTTATTTTTAATGGAAATTTAATACTCTCTTTGAATAATATTTTTTTGTTGTTATAATGATAAAATGTTTTTAGATCATTTTTATTATACAGATAATACGGATGATCGGTGAATAATCGACCAAGATTTTGTTTTAATTCAACCGATTATCCGGAATTGAAATAATACTTCTAATAACATTGGGCTAGATTAGGCTAATTAGGCTTTGAGACTTGAGTATAAAAATCAAAATTCCCAATGTGCAACGATTCTTCTAAATCACTGATTCAATTGTATTGAAAAATAATAAAGTTTATAACATTATGAACTTTTAATTATCAATAAAAGGCATTAACGACATCAAGTATAACTATATTTTCTTTAAAAATTATGGCCTTATTTAATGAATACATTAGTAGTATTCTATTGATTGAGACTAAAAGGTCACTGTATCTTTTGATGGATGATATGCAAATACATTAATTCCTAAAACTTCACTGGATTTTCATCACTAAAAAATTCTCTAAATACATCAGTATCGATTTCTTTGGAAACCAACAAAGCACCAATGACACGCTTACCTACTTCATGACGTGATCGGCCTCTAAGGAGGTTTGTAAAATCAAATTTCTTCTTGACCTCAGTTACGATTTGCTGTTTAATGACTGCAGAAAAAGGGTTAAGCAATAATTCAAAGCAGAGTTGCATAACAAAATATAAAATCAATGTTACCTTCGAAGGACTGTCCAGCCAGAAAATCATCCGCCACAGCCTTCAGCTCTATGATACGACCACCAACTAATTTATAAATTTTATTTGCTTCTGAAAAGCTAATTTTGCGCTTGTTGGCCAGATAATCCATTGATTCCTTCTCGCTAAGATCCCCCACCAATCTCCATTACTGGGCTCTTTGCACGTGACCAAGAACTACATGCTAGAAATAAAAATATCAGATCATAAATACGCTTGTAAATCTTCAGTGTTTCTTCGTGGGCATTAAAAACCTTGTCGGTACATCATCCTAAAGGATATCAAGGATTTCCGAATTTTTGTGAACAAATCAGCTAACATTATCTATCATAAACAATAATTGGTGGTTTGCCATATTTCTTTTTGTATATTACGGAAGCACGCTTAAAGGAATTCAAAAACTCTCCCCCATTCAAGATGATTAATTTTCTCTATAAAAGAGAAATCAGTGTTAAAAATATTTGTTGTTAAAAACAAAACAGTAATAATAAACTCACTACTAGTATCGCCCAAGATAGCTGTGTTGTGAAAGAGATATCCTTCTCAAATGAGAAGTTAATAGCTTTTCCAATCGCTTCGCCCAATTTCATGATATTTGCAGGAATATCAACACATATAACTCCCTGTCCAACTTCTTTTGCCGGAATTCTAGTTCGTGTTGTCCTCCAGGTTCCATGCTCTTCACAGATAACTTGATAAAATGATTGATCTTCATAAGGCTGAAAAATTCTCTTTAGGCGTTCTATTACTATAGGTTGAGGAATAAACTTGTCACATGAAGTTCCCACCTTGGGTCATGTTCCTTTTTCCGTGGTTTCATTAAGAAGATGTTCATTACATCTGTTCCGATACCAAGCATAAAGAAGGTCCACCGATATGAAACTAACAACAAATATTTTCGCCAATACGACAGCCTGCAAATAGTGAAAAGGTGGTGAGAAACTTAACAGAGTAATACAACAAACAACAAAAGTACTTATACCGGAAGCCGTTTTGCAGTTACATTTGTAAGTTTCTTCCAATTGGAGAAATGGACTCGTCAGGAGAGGTGTGGTGAGGTGAAGGAAGTGTGGGATTTGCGTAAGATCTAGCGAGATATAATTGAAATAGGTCACGTCTCAAGTTTCCCAACGTAGGATTTTGTAGCTGAAGGAATAAAACTCGACGGGTAACAGAACGACTCCACTGAAAGCATTGCGAGATACTGGAGGAAGACATTTCTGTTGGTTTGGATCAAGTAAAGAATTTGAAAGCTCCCAAAAATTTATAATTACATCACCGTACATTTTGTTGTCGATAGTGCTGTGCAATCATTTGAGGGAGGGGAAAACATTTAAAAAGGTCAGCATTATATATATCTCCCTCTTCCAATTTTTTTATATCCTAAATGGGTAATCTTACACGATCTATCACATATTTATTTAGATTTCATGTGTCATCAAGCTAAATTTGAAGTGTGCTACATTCTAAGAAAATCAAATCTAACACTAATTAATGTCTTTAGGTGATTGACACAAATAAAATTCTTGGAATTTGTGAAATTCCAAACAACGCCCTTACAAATAGTGCTGTAGCAGCAAAAGTTATCCATTTTTGTACAGTTGGTTGGTACACATCTATATGAATATTTTAAATTGAAGAAATATATTAACAATAATAATCATTTATACAGATCCAGAAAAAGCAAGAGTTTCAGTACCAGATACTTGATTTGATTGGTTATGTGAATCATATAAACCAGTTCCTAAGGTACCAGATTATCTTACTGTTATTGATATTGCTGGTTTGGTTAAAGGTGCATTTGCTGGTGCTGGTTTAGGAAACAACTTTCTTAATTGTATTAGGGCTGTAGATGCAATATTTCATGTTGTTTGTATCCTTTAAATTAATGAAATTATATATAAATATATTAAATATTGTTACTATTATTATATTTATTATTATTATTGGGAGCTTTTTCTGAAGATGTAATTCATGTTGAAGGAGAAATTAATCCTATTAGTGATTTAGAAATCATTCACAATGAACTTCATTTTAAAGACAGAATTTTTGGCTAAAAAAAGTTGAAGGGTTATCAAAAATGCTACACATGTCAGAAAAGGTAGAAGTACAGCTGATAAAGCTAAAAAAGAAGAATCGATAATAAATAATATTTATATACATTTATTTATTTATATTTACATTTTATTTATATTTGATTTTTTATATATTATAATATTTTGTAGGAACCTGTACAGAAATTTTAAAGAAGATAAAAAAGACATTAGAAAAACAAATTGGAATAATAAAGAGTGATCTATGTTTCATTTAGAGTAAATATTATTATTTTTTGTTTTATTTTTATTTGTTTGGGTGTGATGAATTTATATTTATAACATTTCATTAATCTATTGTTTCCTTTATATCTATCTAATTAGAAACAAACAAAAGTGCCAAAAGCTGCTGGAGTGTACACCAGGTTTCTTCCGAAACTCTGCCAATTGCCAAAAGCCTCAAATGCAAAATTCTATTAACTTAGTATGTAACCTGCTGAAACTCTGATTGATTTCTGGAGGAGTTTTCGCAAGCAATCATAATTATTATACAATGTAATATGTAATTAATCATAGTATTCATGGTGATTTTGAAAAAGGGTTTATCTCGGTAGAAATTATGAAGTTTGATGATTTAAAGAGAATGCAGTAAATATACATCTGGTAAATATTTACAAAAAGGAAAAGATTATATTATCTATAAAATCCCAAATGATCTAATTATTTGCAGAATAATATATTGCTCGTCCCGTTTTGTTTGTGTTGCTTATTATTATTATCTTAAAATTTAGTTACCCGATTTATATAATTAATATTAGAAATCATATTACTAAAATTCTAATGTTTGTCCGATTTTAGTGATTTAACGTTTATTAAATAAAAACATATTAATATGTATACCAGTGCACAAAAAAAAATTTTTTTTAAAAATCTACAGTCAAACCTTGTCACAGCGGATGAACGGGATATATAAGAAAATTTTATTTAATCTTGCCACAACGGATTTTTATATGATTTTGTAGAAGCAAGAATTTTAAAAATCCGCTATGACAAGAATTTAATTATAATCCGCTGTGACAAGGTTTGACTGTATATTGTTAAAATTCTAATTTCTGTCCAATTTTTATACGTTAATATTTTTATTAAAATAAATCAGATATATAAAAGTTTATTGGTATGTGTGATACATTAACTGTTTTTAGTATATTGATTTTTATTTCTTTATTAATAACTAGATGTAATCCGTCACTTCGCTGACGGATTACAACACAATTTAAAAATCTTTTACATGTGCTAGTCTAAAAGTTACGCGTCACAACATATTTATTTACGTGCCTGTGGTAATCTAAACGTAACCCAACGATACAATAATAAATAGATTGTGTGCGGTAGTCTAAAACGTTTCGCATCACAACATATTTATTTGCGTGTATGGTAACCCAACGACATAGATTGTGACACACGTTTGCATTATTGCACAATTCAAAAATCATTATTTATGCGTGGCAGCCTAAACGTTACGTTTATTTATACGCGCGCGTTATTCTAAACATTAGGTTTATTTATGCGTGCGCGCCATTCTAAACCTTAGGCTCATGTGAACCCGACGTTTTTAATATAATAGATTCCATCTGTATTTATTAATATTAAATGTTACTAGAGCCCAAATAGTCAATGCTGCTCTCAATAAATCCCATTTATGGCACCATGTTCGTATCTTCTCATTAACTAATAACATGTGAGTTGCCCAAACTGCCAAAAAAATTGCAGAATATAGGCAATGGAACGGAGCCTATAATTGAAAACAATTTAATTTGGCTCTCCGTTGAAATGATTGTTCATCCACAAAATGGCAAAGATCCCATTGACCTGCTAATAGATACTGTTTATCCTAATCACATTGAAAATTCTATGAACATTACTTTTATAATGGAAAGAGCAATACTAACCCCATTAAACAATGATGTTGATGAAATCAATGAGCGAATTATGGCCAAATATCCTGGAGAACAGTATACATATTATAGCTTTGATTCAATACCAGAAGACAAAACAAATCTATACCCAATTGAATATCTTAATTCCAAGGTCTCCCTCCACATGAACTCACCCTGAAAGTCAATGCTCCTATCATGTTACTTAGAAACCTAGATCCAATCAACAGACTTTGCAACAGAACAAGACTTATCTGTTGTCAATTCCAATCCCAAATAATTGATACTGAAATAATAACAGGAGACCATCAAGGTAAACGTGTATTTATCCCTTACATCAACAGAAGATACCGGATTACCTTTTGTGCTAAAAAGAAAGCAATTCCCCGTACAGCCAGCATTTGCCTTGACTATCAACAAATCTCAAGGTCAAACGCTACCCTATATTGGCCTATATCTTCCACAGCCCATTTTCTTTCATGGACAATTATATGTGGCAATGTCAAGAGTATGTAAAGCGTGTAATCTCAATGCATTTGTAAATAACGAAATAGTACAGGGTAAGGTCAGAAATTATACAAAAAACATTGTATATAAGGAGGCTTTAAGACTACAATAGATAAAGATAACAAAAATACCACTGTAATTATTTACCTACACAAAATATAAACTTAATAATAATAAATAAACCAAATAAAGACAAAAAATTATTCTAATTATAAAATACACAGTTGTACAACTAACATAAAAAAAAACAAATACCAGACGGACACAAGAACGTACAAAATTGCTAGTAGGATTGGAAAAACATATAGTAAACGTTGTTGTTTATTGGTTTAAAATGAAAAACAATACAATTTTGTCATACAAAACTCGAAATATGTCTAGAAGTGAGAATTTAATATTTCTTTTATAAATAAATACAAGGGATTATTTAAAGATGAATGCGAAGGTATTGGAATTGGCGAATGAATTAAAACTATTAATTGAATCGATTTACCCAAAATATGATTTATTATGTAAATCAAGTTACCATCATTTTAATGGTAGACAAATTAGAATGACAAATATCTTAAATGGATTACTGGGAACTTTAAAATTAATAATAAAGTGTACTGATTGTAATAAAAAAATAATGGGAATTAAGGCATGGAATCAATTTAATATTGATTTGCTAAAAGATGAAGATGATCTTATCTATTATTTATTAGAGAAAACAATTGATTTATTAATAGTACTTTCCGATAGATTAGAAAAAAAAAATGAAAAAGAAAGTAAAAAGTTAATTCAAGAATCATATGAAATTCTGACTCACATAGATGTTAGATTAAATAGAATTGTATTATGCAATGGTTGCAAAGAAAAGGTAATTGAGGATTTAGCAGCTGATTGTGGAAATAAAGAAATAGCCAAGTTTCTTTATGGATACAAAAAAAATGAAATTGAAAATAATATTGAATGGATTCCCTTTGATGAATTCAAAAACATTGAATATTTGGCTAAAGGTGGTTTTGGTAAAGTTCATAAAGCAATCTGGATCAATCATTATATACATTATATTTCATATGGTCAACGTGAACTAAATGTGGTATTAAAAAGGATATATAACTCAAATGATAAAATCATGGATATTTTAAAAGAGGTAATATTAATTATTGTTATAATGTTATATAATAAATAATATTAATTGTATTTATAATTTATAATTTTTAGTTAAAAGCAAATAATAAAATGAGTTATCATGTCAGTGAATGTTTTGGAATTACTCAAGATCCAAGCACAAATGAGTATATGTTGGTGTTTCGATATGCCGAAAATGGAGATTTACATAATAATTTATCAAAAAATTTCAAGGAAATTACTTGGGAAAATAAAATGTATTCACTTTATCATATTTCAGATGGGTAAATTTTAATTTTATTATTAAATTAAAAATTTTTTTATAAAATTAACTAACTTAACTTTATACATTTTATTATCATCACCATCATTCATTATTAAAATAAATTAGATTAAAGAAAATTCATGATGAAAATTATGTTCATCGTGACTTGCATAGTGGTAATATTTTTTCTTTTCGTAATGGTTATCATGGTTGGAGTAAAATAGGAGATTTAGGATTATGTCAACAATTAATAAATAATAAAGAGAATTCAAATGAGATCTTTGGAGTCATTCCATACCTGGCACCTGAAGTATTATCAGGTAAACGATATACAAAAGAATCAGACATTTATAGTTTTGGGATGATTATGTGGGAACATACCACAGGTAAAAAACCTTTTTATGGTGTGCCACATGACCAACATCTAATAACGGACATCATGAGAGGAATAAGACCTAATATCACCAAAGACACTCCTGAATTCTATGCTGAATTGATGAAAAAATGTTGGAATTCAAATCCAAAAAATAGACCAACTGCACAAGAAATTTATTATTGTTTCCATGGATATTTTTTTAATATTTCTGAAGAAAGACAGAAAATCATTGATTTAGCAGAATCAAAACGCAAAGGGATCATTAAATCAGAGAAATACTTGTCAGATTCAAAAAATTATAAACACCATTTAAATGCATTCTATACTAGTCGCCCGCTTGGTAGATTAATTAAGCGGGCTAATTTACAACCTACATCAATAGATTTTGATGATGATTCATCAAATAACAACATTCAACCAAATACTTTAATTGAATACAATCTTGACAGTGATGCTTCAGTATATATGCCAATGCATATGTAATAACAAATGATGGCAGTGGTGATAATCTTAGGAATGATGGTATTGGACATTATAGTAGTGGTGGAGGTGTTATTAGTAGTGATGGTATTGGTGGTGGTAAAAGAAGCAACCAAAACAAAAATTAAAATTATTTTTAATATTTTTTTCTGTATTTATTATTATTATTTTTTTTATTTTAGTATATCACATTACCTTTTAAAGATTACATACAGTATATCAACAATTAAATAAGATAATTAAATCATTTAGAAGCTTATCGAATACTTATAAAAAACCCCATTGCCGGTTTTAATTCATACAACATAGTTTCGGATATATTAATTATACAAAAACGTACATAATAATAAAAGATTTATGCTAGTTTGTGGTTTTGCCAGCCGTGAAAGTCACTCCTGAAAAAAACACAAAAATTTTGTTATTAAACTCTGATTTTTTTTATAGTACGTTTGATAAAACTGGTTTGCCTACAATGCATTAATTAAATCCATTGAATCATTTGCTAAAAATATTCTGGTTCTAACAATGATTGAATTAACGCAGACCTTTTCGGTCTTTTCATATATTTATATTTCAAAAAGACCAGTAAAAAAATGAAGGATCTGACAAATGACGACCTTTAAAAAAGAGAGCTTATTAGCAACAACAACATCTAAAAAATTTTAAAATCTTAAGCTCAAAATAAAGAAAATGAAAATAATATTATTGCGGCTACTACTAGAACTTTTAATTTTTTCAATTGTTATTAAAAACAACTGAATTATTCAATTAGAAGAAACCCAAATCCTAAAAGGTTAATAATATCACTACTAGTTTATTTGTCTATTTATTGCATTGTAATCAAATCTAACTTCTTTTAACAAATTATTCTTTAGATTATTCATTAACACACGACATGAAGAAATGATTTTGATAACTAAAAAATCATTAGAACCGGCTCAGGATTGGGGATGTCCACCGAAATTATGTCAAGCTACCAAAACACTTTTGGTAAAATTTTCGGTTTCGGTTCAAAACCGAAAATCAAAAAACATACTGTATGATTATTTTTTTTTAATATATATAACTAATTGAAAATTTATATATAATAAATTTATCAAGTACTTTATTTTTATTAACCGCTGACAACGGTACATATTAATATATTAATAATGTAAAAGAAGTTCCGCGGGAGGAATTATTTGAATTAAAAAAAAAGAGATTAATTACTTAATTATATTATATTTGAATACTTACATAGTTTTAAATATCATGTTAATTTATTTTTAGAATTAAATTAGGGAATTATTGGACGACCTTCTTCGAATGCTTGGATACACTTTGTGAAAGGAAGTTGAGTTAAAATATAGCAAATGACATTATTCTGCAAGGTGTAGCTATTGTAAGTTACCCATTGAAATTTGAAAAACATCTGGAAAGGAATGTGGTAGTTGCAATAGAGAAATTCGTAAATACTATTTGCAAAAAAAAACTGTTAAAGAAAAAGAAAGTAATCAAATTTCTTTTACGTAATAAACAAGAACAACAAGTTTATCTGAATTCTACGAAAGCACAACATTAACCACAGAAAGGAATGATAATAAAGCATTAATCAAGGCATTTGTAATATGTGGCATGCCTTTTAATGTTATATTTATTTACTGGGTTACTTGGACAACTTAGGCCTGCCTACATGCCACCTAATAGAAAAGCAATCCCAGGAAGACTTCTTGACACAGAAATGACTAATATTAATAACAAAATTAACGTGCAACTTTTAGAGATATAAATGATTATGAAACATATAGATGCCAAATAAGAAAAATCATTAGGAAATAGGCTAGAGAACAAAAGGTTTGAATTTATAAAAAAAAAATTAAGATAAAATTTGATGATGATTGATTGAGATTGTCAGAAAAGAATTCAAATAAAATAAGCGAATTCTTAGTCAAACGTATTCATAGTTTGACTTTTGGTTTAGGTTTCAAACTTGTAAATTTTCGAAGGTTTCGGTACTACCGAAAAGGGAGTTCCTACTCAGGATCATGAAAGCATCATAGAAACCTATTAAATCATCAACTATAAACCACAAAGTATACAGTTCTTTTCGATAAACTGGAATTACATCAAGAAACTAGTAAGAATTGAAAAAAAAAGACAGATAATTAAACAAAACTTGGAACCAAAAGAAAGGAAAATTTTAAAGAGTCCATAAATTAAAGTTTTGATTTTTTAACGATCAAAATATTATCCGTCTGAATGGTACGCATCGCGCCGACTGACGTTCTGCAGTTTTATAATTTTGTAATTGATATAAAAACAATGAATAATAATTTCACGTCGATGGTTTTTATTACCAAAATTTTTGGTTCTATGAAACAAATTTTCGAGAGAAGAGAAAAAAAAACGTGAACTTTTCAATAATAATACCATTAGTTGGATGCAAACAAAGATTATTATAAATGTTGATACTATGAGAGAAACGTAATTATGAGAAATGGGTTAACGTTTAACCTGTTGAGATGCTTTACGGGAGAAACACAAAGATTTATAATAACTATTACACTAATATTTTCTCCTTTAATATTACAACAAATTACATTTCACAAGTGAAAAAAATTAAAACGCGCGTTCGAATTATCATTAGTGCCTGAGTTTGTAAAATACATTGGTATGTCGGTATTGATAATTAGGGCAGCTTTTATATACACATGAGTTGTGTTTTTTTCGATTGTTGACTTTAGAGTTAACTACGCGTAACAATAATGTTAATTATAAAATAAAAACATGCTTGGGCTTTTTCTAGTATCTGAGTTTGAGACGCACATAGATTGGTCAATATTAATATGTCACATAAGACATGTTTTAGCTTTGAATTTTTTAAGTGATAAAAATAATAATCACAATGAATGAATTAATCACTAGAGTTGGATGTAATTTTTTTTCTTAATGATTTATATAATTACAGTTATTAAAAATACATATAATATTATCTACAAAAAAAAAAAAGATCTTCAAAAATACATTATTAAATTAAATTAAAAATAAATTGTAATATAAACAATAATATCATCAACAACTTATTCCAATTATTTGGACTACTTTTTGATGGTATATCATCATCATCAGGCAAGGGGATTTCGGGCTCCGAATTATTACGAATTACATAACCCATCGATTCGAAAACAGATTTAAGTTTAGGCCCAATTGCTCCTCCGGTATAATTTCCACCATCTTTAATTGCATCGTTTAACCCTCTACCTGGATCTTGTATCCAAGTCATCAAGAATTCATTAGATTTTGCATACAAGTCTTGACTCACATGACTGACACTCGAACCCATAAGATAAGGTCGTAAACTAGTTTCCAGATAATACAATTCATCATTAATTTTGGAGCTGTTCGTTGCAATTGTTTGGTAATCCGAACCTTCTGGCAAGAAACCAAATGATAAAGCCGTCGTGCTGTAATTTAACATATCAGTTGCAATTTTATATTGACTGGATGCTCTAAACTTGTTATAAAGATCATACATCGAATCAAATTTTGTGCCTTCTGGAGCAAATTTATTTAATTCATTTGTGAAATTTGTTAGTGGCGTTCCATCCGATAATATTAAAAATTTATCAAATATGCCTTCAATAAATCCGTGAAATTCTTTATTTTGATAATAAATAAATGGAGTCAATACTTCTACATCATCGAAATAAAAATCCCAAGCTGAAATAAATCCCAAGCCATGAATGAGTTCGTGTAATATCAATTCAACAAATCCTATCTGAGATTTTTTAACTGGGGTCACATCATCTTCAAACCAATAATCAACGTTGGAATTAAATTCTGCTTGTATGTCAGAAGGTCGATATTCCGTATGCGTTGTAAGTTCAAATTGTTTCAATAATGATTGTGGATACAGTCTAAATATCCCATCTTTACTTTTCATCAAATGTAATCTAGTGGGTCCCGCTGAACCTAATAAATAAGGAAATGTATGTGTGTTTTTTAATAAGCAAAGAAATTTTTTTAAAGGAAAGAAAGAAAATTTATACTTCATTACCTAATACACCTGAATCTAATCGACTGAAAGAAACTTCTACAATGACAGGCACTTTAAATTTTAAAAACTTGGTAATAATTTGTCCTGTAATTTCCAAATTTTTTTTAGCCTTATTACAAAATTTTGGATTTGCACTGCTACATTTAACAATATTAAATATGAACATATCATTATTGCCAGTTTGTTTTTTATTGGCTTGTTTTTTTGTTTCCGTAACTAGCAAACAATCTGTCATTTTTAATTTATTTTTAGGGAACGGACTTTCACGATCAACACAGCCTAATGTAATAGCAGCAGATGAAGATGACGAGGAAAAAACATTAGTAATATTAAAAAATGTCATTAAACTATAGTGGAGAAGTTCCATAGTCATTATTTTAATAATAATAATTGTCATTATCATTAATAGTGCTGGAAAATAGTAATTCATTTTTTTTTTTCAAGAAAATATAGATTTTGTTTTAAAAAATAAATTTGTTTCAAGATAAAAAAATCGTAGAGATGAATTCAAATTTGGGAACAGCGGGCTTAAACCTAATTAGTTGATAGACAATCTACATATTCCTTTGTGTTTAGTGCTTTTAATATATACTATTACAGGTTCCATATTCCGTGCATCTGCGCCTCAGTACTAAATAATGCTTTGTACAAATCAAATTGAGTATATGTACAAAAGTGTGCTTATTATGTTTTATGCGGATGGAAAATCTACAATAAAAAAGTAAAAATATCCCTACTCGTTTATAGATGACTTGAACCATAAATGAACAGGAGGGAACACAAAATTTTAACCCATGCCATTTGTTGATTGCCCAATTAAAATCGCGAATTTGATAAACGTAGAAATAAATATGGGTTTGATTCATTTTGTCAACAATCACTTCACCAA